CATACAGGGTTATCACATGAATTTTTGCTTAACATTGTTGCACCGCAAAAACGGATAACAGTGAATCCCAATACCCTTCGCGCTTTTTGACCTGGTCTATGGTAATGCATCGGCAAGCGAAGGGCTAAGGCATGCTGAGAACCGAAGATGGCCGAAGAATGCAACCGCAGAAAAGGCTGCCCGCCTTACACCCCAAATCTTTTGCATTTGTTATTCGTGAGTTGTGCAAAGAGTTGTTTTCTTTCTTTTAGCGAAATTAAGCAAAACCTGGTGGACAGTGGAATTACTGCTTAGTTCTTCACTCTAAAGCGAGCTTTTACAACGACTGCATACCAATTTTATAGAGAGATGACGTGCGTACGCTGCTAAGTTAGCCGACACAGGCTCTAACGAGAAACTTCGGACAAAAGGACCTGGTGTAGCGATTTTGCTGATCATCGTTAATGGCATTAGTTAAGTCCGCATACTGTTTAACATTATGTGCTTTTTAGGCTGCAGAATTTTTCGATGGTTTTTATGTCGGTGGACATCGAGGCTCACCAGCTATTGCTCCGGAAAATACAATTGAATCGTTTGAAAAAGTAACTTTCTCACGAATTATTGGATTTAAATGTGTAAATTATCATAGTTATTATCATTACTACCATCATCATTACCAACACTAGCATTATTTCTGCGCCGTGTTTCCAGGCAAAATTATCGAAGACAGACTTAGTTGAATTCGATTTAACATTGACGAAAGATGGTACTGTCGTGATTATTCACGACAGCGATCTGATGAGAACATGCGGTGAACCCGGTCTTGTGGCGTCGTTTACGTTTGAAGAGTTGAAAACGAAAAATGCAGGGAAAACATTTTGGTAAGCGCGACGCCGGCGGCCATTCGCTCCTTTTCTGCCCATACAAATTCATAATTCTGAAATAAGAAGCAGCAAATGGATCACTAACATGGCCTGGAATGTTAAAATGACTTTACCCACTCACGGGCCGTGTTTATTTTACTTCATGCCTTTACTTAATGAGTACCGTCTCTTTTGTGCATACGCGTTCTTCTTGAGTCCATTAATCTCCTTCTCACGGGACACCATTTGCGGCGATTAATTAAACACAGCTTTGCTCAGTCGGGTTAAGAGCGCAATGCAATCACCAGAAGGGAAGGAGTGCGGCAAAGAGGGGATGGGGAAAGAGGTGGCGGGGAAAAGCCGGGGGTGCTGGTTCAGGTTTCAGGGGCTTTTTAATAGGAGGAAGAAAACAAAATAAATCATTGACGAAGCGCCCAGCCGGGCCCGTGCAATCATGCGTTTTTGCAGTATTTCGTGCTGTAGTGAGATCATTTGAAATCCCAGTAGCTAAAATTTGCGACATACTGATCCTC